CCACTTGCCCACTTGCCTACCTTCTAGAAGGTCTACAGCTAAGCTTCCGGAACTCACTAAGACTTCTACGCTATAGACCTACAGATCGAACCCCTGCTGCCTAGGGACCTACGACAGACCTGCCAACTGTCTGCGAATACACAGGTCACAGGTTCAATTCTCGGGATCTATACAGATATTGTACATAGGTAGGGTGAGGTCTAGGGATCGAACCCTGGGTACTGCATCCGCTACTGCTAAAAGGTGAAAACCGTTTCAAAACGGCCTGAACTATAGGAATTGGTGGAGCAGTTCTGGCACTACTGGTCTGCTCAAAAACACAATCACCCCTCAACAGTGGACTGGTTCAACAAGGGAGTCGCAAATATGAGAGAACGAATCAAACAAGTTCTCAATCAAGCACGTCAGAGACTGAAAGCAGGTTCTGGAAAACCTGTTGCACACACTGGAATAATGGGATGCACAAATGTCTGATCAGCCCCTAGACACCTTCACGTTTAACCAACTACAAAAAGCGAGGGACCACCTCCAAGCATATTTGGACCGGCAATCGGAAGCATAGCGTATCCAAACAAGGGTCAAACGAGGGACCACGAAAGGGACCATGGCCAAATCCTTTTATAGACAGGCCAAAACTCGTGCTAGACAGAACGCGGTGCCCTCCTTACACCACCCCTTTGACGCAAGACAACCGGACACCTCGAACTCGTACTCCATAGTGGACTATGAGACAACATATTACCGAAAACTTTTCAGTTCAGAGAATGCTAAATGGGGAGACAACGCACTGCAACAAGCGAGGGCAGCTCTCTTGAATAACCTTACAGCCCTGTTGTCCCAACAGCAAAGGCAAACACTAGAAGAGCCCCTGACAGCAGAGGAAATTCGCTCCGCACTGTCGACAATGGATGACGAAAAAACTTCGGGTTTGGATGCTTTCCCGAAAGAGTTCTGGTTACACTTTTGGGAATTCTTCAAACAGGACCTAATGACATACATACACACAGTCCAACACGAAGGAAGATTCAGGGATCTGATGAGTCAAGGAGTCACAACCTTGTTGTACAAAAAAGGGGACCGAGCAGAAATTTGGAATTTCAGACCGATCACCCTCCTACCTCTCCCCTATAAAATGGTGGCTAAAGCCTTGTGCAACAGATTGTTACACCGCATGCAACATCTCATACATACGGACCAGACGAGCTTTATGCCCCATAGAAACATTCAAGATAATGTCCTCTTGGTCAACGAAACAATAAAGTATGCACGCCAAAGAGGGGTAGATGCAGCTATATTGTTTATAGACTTCGAGAAGGTCTATGATCACGTAGACTGGAACTTTCTGGACTTATGCTTGGACAAAATGAACTTCGGCCCGCGTTTTCGCCAATGGGTCACCACCCTGCATGAATCTTCGTCTACTAACATAATGTTGAATGGTCACCTGTCCCCCCCCTTCCCGCTGCAAAGATCGGTAAGGCAAGGGGACCCGATAGCCCCCCTGCTCTTCGTTATAGTTATGGAGGCGCTGGCCTCCTCAATAAGAGCAAATCCGGCTATTGAACGCATTGACATACCAGAAATACCGAAGCATAAGATCCTGATGACCTCTCTGTTTGTTGGCGACCTTACTGTCCTCATCAAAGCCTCTCCCGAGAGCATGAGAGCGCTAGCTGGAACTATTCACCTCTTCTCGATTGCGGCCGACATGAAAGTCAACTGGGGCTCCAAAACCGAAGGGTGGTGGCTTCACACAGCAGGTCAACCCCCACCGGAGGAGCCTGCAGTTAATTGGCGACAGAAAGAAGAGGCGATACAAATCCTAGGGGTGAGACTCACAGCATTGGGCTCCCCAAAAAATCACGGGGACCAGCTGGTCCACACAGCCCTACAAGCCATGGCCAAATGGAAAGGCCTTCATACCTCACAAATAGGCAGGGCCCTGACAATTAACAACGCCATTCTTTCGACTATCTGATACAAAACAGTTTTCTGATCCATCGATCGTAAACAATACCAGAGACTTAAAGAAGCCATAGCCGCCTACTTGTGGAGAAGCGACCAAGAGCTACACTCATGCATAAAACGGGTGGCTTGGGCCCAGATAGCCCAATCTAAAAGCAAGGGAGGGCTTGCTTGATCCTCTAGACCAGGCCCTGATCTTCAAGGTGATCGTCAGACTACTTATGGCGGACGAGCTCCCGTGGGGCCCGCTGACCATCATTCAACTCGCCAACTTGGCCCCGCCAACACCTGAAGACAAACGGGTACACCCCTTCGCATGGCTAACTAATCCGGCTTGGTCCATCCCGTCCACCACTAAGTCCGAAACCAGCGACTCAACCGAGACTGCAGCAAAAACTGATCTCACCTACGATCCGCTATGGATATCCTTGCTGGCCCTCTGGCGAGAGGTGGGCCCCAAAAAGCTTCAACCACCGCATCGGTGGCATGAGATCACAAGACAGCCTTGCTTCGGAAACCCACACATACTGGATCATTAGGGGAAACCGTTCTCCGAGTCACTCAAACAAGACATACACTGGCTGTCATGGGTCAAAAAAGGAATTTTTACTTTAGGGGTCTGTGGGATAATTAGGCCAGGTGATGGAAAACGGCGACGAACCTGCGTGCCCAACTGAAACACATCAGAAACCTTGAAGACAAATTGCAACAGATCCAAGAAGCGGTCCCCATCGCTTGGGTGCGCGCCCTTCGTAAAGGCCCGCATATCACCAGAGGGGACTGGGTAATCTTGGAATCCTCTCTCCCGC